CTCCATTCTCCACTCTTCTCTGGTGCTGCTATGCCAACGCCCGGTTCCAGCATATCTCTCGGCCATATATATTATTTTCATCTTCACTATCTTTGATTAATATCCACAAGGTTCATGGGGGAGACATGCACCAATGGTGACATTCACCCCCACCCCCTCCCCCTATTTTTGTCAATTTGAAGCCTATGCACAGAAGTATGTAATAAAGGTGGAGGGCATCCATGCATATAAACAATCATAGAAATATATAATGATTTGAGAACTTTCAAGTCAAGTCGAACCTTAGAAATTGAGCATCTTGACTTCTCATGAGCAATAATTCCTTCAACAGACCAGTTTGCCACTGCTCTGATGGGAGAAGTGAAAGGAAATAGAATCTCCACATGGCTTCTTCTTCCAGAACTTGCAGCAATTTGTATTGGCATACGGCCCTGCTGTAAAGTAACAAAACAAAGAAGAAACACTCAATGGAAAGAACATATTTCAATATGCCACACCAGCAAACTTAATAGCTTGATTAACAAGAATATGGTGGAAGGGATTTTCCATCGGAATATATTCATTAAGAGAATTTATGAAGTTCTGCTAAGTGCTGATTATAACATACAAAGAAAATAAAAAACATAGCTACAATACATCATCGTGAAAACAAGCAATTCCATGTGAACCCAACAAGTGTGTGCGCAATGTGTAGACAGATATAATCATACACATGCAACTCTATGCCACAAGCACGCACCCGTGCACTGTGCATAAAAATATACCATATGCATTAGATTTCCCACCAAGGTAAAAACAGCAAGAAATTAGGAAGAACAAAAGTTCACCTGTTCATCCGGAATGTTAGGATCCGCGCCAGCCTCCAGCAAGTACTTAATACAGTCAGCCAAACCAACCGTAGTTGCCACCACCAAGGGAGTACTTGGATGAGCAGAATTCACATCAGCGCCAGCCTGTGGACCCATATTATGCAAAGCAAAATGTCTTGCACACAGCAAATCATATAACTAGAGGGATCAACTAACAAAACAACCTATATTACTCTACAATAACTAATCGGGTCCTGCCTAATCATCGAGGCGTGAGGAAACAAAGCAAACAGGATAACAGACCTTCACAAGTAGCTTCACACATTCCAATGAATCAGATTCACTCACTCCATGTTTAGTACAATGAAGAGCCGTAACTAGAGGGGTGCCTGAAACTTCTGAAACCCTGTTTGGCTACAAATTTAAGAGAACAAAATCACTTCCTACACAAAAGTGACATAGTTCAACAGGTCACAGCAATACAACTACAGATACAACAAGAACATAATAATACACAGGTCACACGTTTTGACTATATACAGCAACATAACATGTAACTCATATTCGTGCACTCTGTATTACCTCAGATTACCAAAAACCAAAAAACCCTAAATTTGGTGGCATTGCTTGTATAAACGACTTAAACTTAGTTAGCCTTTAAAATTAAGTATCTCTAACATGGTTTTGAACTGGAGGTGACTAGAAATATATAAACGAATTATTAGGTTTGTCAGCACAAAATATGGTTAAAAAATTGAAGAGCTCGGCAACAACCAGGTAAAAAATTTGTCAACTGAAAAGGTATGGAAGTTACACATTACATCTGCATGGTGATCCAATAAAATCTTCACAGCACCGGTGTTCCCATAGGAAGCAGCAATATGTAGTGGTGTTCCATGAGTAACAGCTATATCAACTCTGGCCCCTCTAGATAACAACAGATCCACGACTTCCCCGTTCCCTGGATAAGATATATGAATCGCGTGATAATGTCATAAAGACCCAGTAATAAACCAATGTTGCAAGCTTCTCGAAGATGCACATTCAAGATGAACTTATAATGGTATATGTTGATCAGACACCATTGTCTGAAAGCATGACAAGAAAGAACCACAAGATTCCAAAGGCTGGTCAAGTAGTGAGGTAGGCTAGACGAGTTATAAAATTAATCCAACCAATATATAGCTCCACGAAGAAGATTGATCAAGAAATGTTTTTTGACAGGTAATATTCGGATACACAGAAGGTTTATAGATTGCATCCTGAGGCCAGACAAAACAAGTGTACAGCATACCAAATATAGGGCAACTTAAGTGGAAGAAATAATAACCATGAAACAAATAGTTACTGATGAAAACTAATAAATGAGGAAAATGCATCGGAACCTCCTAAACTATCACCTTCTCCCTTGATTTCCTAGACTTGCGTTTTCCGTGTCGGGCCGCACTAAACTTATCTATGTTTCTCATTAGCTCCTCTTCACCATTAGCAAAAAAATACCGTTAGGTGAGGCTGACAAGGCAAAACGAGCCAGAGCCACTTCACGCATTTCTGTTAGTCCAGGATTGAAAAGGAGCCATGTGAGTAAGGGGGACAAGTTCAGGGAAGCCCAGCACAGAAAATCAAGCCAAGGGAGACAAGGAGAAAGTTGGTGATAGTTTAGGGAGTTCCTTCCGATACAATTTTCTCAGACCAAATTACTTGCAGTAATTTTTGATACAAAAAAATGTAGTTGGTGGGTTTTATGGTTACAATTTTGAATTCAATTGTTCTTGTTAGCAACACAACAACATTTTTTTGCAGAAAAAAACACAACAACATTTATGAAAACCACTAACAGATCAATTAACATATGCCAACAGAGAGAGAGAGAGACCACTTTTTGCAGCATTATGAAGAGCAACAGAGCCTCTCTCATCTAGCTTATTTGGGTCAGCTCCATTGTCTAGAAGATATCTTGCAACGGCAACTTCCCCAAACAATGCTGCAGAACTCAGAGGTGTTACACCTGGAAACAAACAAGTACCCTGTCAGATCATCAATACCACTCCCAGATCTCCAGTCTAGAAGGTGAAAACACTAACTGTAGAATAGTGCATGGTATACCGTATACCACGCTTATTGCTCACATGCATCTGCAACTACCAGATGAATTCCTAGAGTATAAGTATGCCATACAAATCATATTCCATACAATTACCTATTACTTAATATTGTGTAGGTATATGGAATGATGTGGTGGAAACTACATATTGGATCATCCAAAAGTGACAGAAGCATATCCAGGTAGCATGTATTTTAATCAAAATCATATAAAATGCAACTTGTACTCAAGCTATGGGTACCACAAATGAAAAATATTATATGTAAACTTCTCAAAAGAACCTACATCAGTATCATTCTCAGTTGACCGGTATATTAAATTTAACTCCCAGAAGTGCCGTATATGTCATATATAGAAAAGAAAAACTGAAGCCTGATTAGTTGCAGGCCAATAGCTGGTACTGGTAATCACCAGATAACAGAAGTGCAGAACAGAGACGAACAAGGATCAAAATGTACTAATTTTACAGCACAATATCACTTTTCACATCCAATTTCGCTTTCCTGAATCAATCCGATACAACAATTGTGAAGGACTAGCAAAGAAAAGTCATTATACACGCATGTAACATGTTGCAACAGATAACAGATTGAATGGTACAGACTATGAAAGCAGGCCAAGAAGACAAAAAGGAAAGGGAGTTGATATAGCACACGAGAAGTACGCACCACCAGTGAGGTCACCGGCATTGACGTCGAACCCGAGCTCCTCCACGAAGTACTTGCACACTTCCAATTCAGCAAGGAATGATGCCAATTGTAGTAACCCCGTGCCATCTATATGCATATCAGCAAGCTTTGCCCTGTCCTGTTTGTCCATGCTACTCACCATATCTACATGACCCAAAAATGTACAGATGAATCATAGTAAAACGCAACTGTAAGAAAAAAAATGTAACTGCAGTTTCCACATGATCGCATAAATCTGGTTCGGAATTGCAACTAAGCATGAAGGGTCAGTAGTATCTTAAGCAGAATCACACGGGCAAATCTGACTGAAAACGACTATCGTGTTTGTCCATGCTACTCACCATATCTACAAGACCCAAAAATGTACAGATGAATCGTAGTAAAACGCAACTGTAAGAAAAATATAACTGCAGTTTCGAAATGATGGCATAAATCTGGGTAAGAATTGTCAGTAAGCATGAAGGGTATCTTAAGCAGAATCACGCAACCAAACCTGACTGAAAACGACTGATTAAACATGAATCCATCACAGGGCAATTAGTACCATGGTGTCAATCACGATGCATATATGCCCAATACACATCCCTGAGAAATACAGTCAAAATCGCGCGAACCGAAACAGGAACTGCTGCAAGCAACGAGACCCTCGTAGCGAGCAGGTGCACCACCTCACGGCCGCATCGAAATTCGAAACCACGCCCGTGTTGGGCGAGATTGGCGCCGTGGCGGCGGCGCAGGCAGAGGTAAAGAGGCGTGCGTACTCACCCTTGAGGCCGTCCACATCTCCGTCCTGGATCGCCTCGAGCAGCTCGCTCTCCAGCGAGCCGGGGTCGGCTGGAGGAAGCAGATGGACGTTAGTTAGGGGCAGCCGGACAGGGAAAGCCGCGACGCGGACTAGGGTTTCGGGGGGCGGTGGCGGAGGCGTGCTGCGCATACCGTTGGTGCGGTGCTCCAGCCAGTTGTAGAAGTAGGACTTGTCCACGGGGCGCGGCGGCGGCGGCGGCGACGACGACTCCATTTGTAGGGTTTCGGCGGCGGCGGGCGGCGGCGCCGATGGGCTTGGGCGGTGGCTTCGAGGGGAAGGAAGGTGGAAGTGGGAGGGAAAGGGGCGGGAATGGGGAGAGGCCGGGAGTGGGATTGGCTACGCGGCACCGGGGGCTATCGAGTGGAAATTTGACTTCCACCCCTTTAGCACCCTGGCTCATCACAGAATACTGAAACGAACCGAAAGTGTGCTGCCGTCGTCATGCCTTTCTCGTCGAAACCGGGCAAAACTTGTTGTAGTAGGTGGTTGGGAAGTCGTGGTGCTAAGGCCTCATAGGATCAGCGCACCAGAACAGCGCCCGCCGCCGGTGAAGAGTAGCGTATATCGAAAGGATCCAACCTGAAGACACACGAACGTGAATAAACGAATAACAAATCCGAGCAAATCCACCAGAGACTGATCCGCCGGGAGACACACCTCCACACGCCCACCGCCTATGCTAAATGCACCACCGAAACGGAAATAGGTGGGAAAAATCTTATTCCGAGTCACCGTTGTCTCGCCTTCCTGAGCAAGACTCAAAATTCTAACAAAACTCGCAAACACATCTAAAAATGGAGCTCTCGCGCCGGCAATGGCCGGGGTCCACCGCGCTCTCATTGCCCTAAGGCCACCGTAGACGAGGCGGCCCGATGATGACCCACAAGTACAGAGGGTCGCAACAGTCTTGAAGGGTAGTGTTTCATCCAAATTTATTGATTCGACACAAGTGGAGTCAAACAATATTTATAAGCCTTAGTAGTTGAGTTGTCAATTCAACCACACCTAGAAAGTTATTTCTCTGCAGCAAGTGTTTAGTAGCACGGTAATTTGATAGTTTTGATAGTACTGATAACAGTAGCAGTACTGTCGTGGAATTGTCACGGCAGATGTCCTTAGTGTCAGGACTTAGTCGCGAGGCCAACGCATCTATGTGGTAGCTTGAGAGGGGTTGAGCGAGACGAGAGACGCTATATTTTACCCAGGTTCGGCCCCTCACGGTGGAGGTAAAAGCCTACATCCTGCTTCATTGATATTGATGATGATGATCATGGTTACAAGTGTGCTCTATCTCGAGAGCTATTGTCTAAACCTAACTTGTCCAACTTGCGGAACTTGTCAATCTTTTCTGGGAGCCTTGCCCCTTCTTATATAAGTTGAAGGGGTCGACCTACATGTAGAGTCCTAGTAGGATTAGGACTAGTCTCTTTTCTATTACAAGACGATAGCAATCCAAGTCTTATTCAAATTGTTTAAGTCAGCCTACTGGGCCACCTCCCATGATGGGTCGTGGCCTACCTCCACGAGGATACCCGTGTCCCATATCCACGACAAGTACTAACATCAGCAGTTTTGTAATTATTGGAACAGTAGCATTAATAGTAACTTAGCAAACACAATATGAGAAAAATTGTAAGCGTTGGGCCAGCGATAGATATTTGTTTGGTAATATGATGTGTGTTACCTGATTGTCAAAAAAAGATATGTATTAACTGAGGCGGCATTTGTTCTGGGTTATTTTAGCTCCGTGAGTAGTGTTTTATTTATCTTCAAAAGCTCATTACAACACAAAAGAAGTTGAGGATGTGAGAGAGGGGACACCAAACATAGGTGCGTACAATTGCTGAACAATTGTTATTTTGAAAAATACATTAGATCGAAAGATGTTCATAACCATAAAAAAAGGAATCCTCAACAAACGACACAACATTAAAAAAAAAACGACAGAAACTCTTACTTGTGTATTGGTTATGGTTGTGTTTTTTTATTGTCGTATGATCTTACTTGTGTGGACGGCATGAGATATTTGTGGTGCAGGGAATTGTTGGGCAGCGAATTTCCCCATCGCATGTCAAGGAGGGCTTCAGTATGGTCTATTACTATTCTGCAGTTGTATGACCGTCAGCTTGTTTGCGTTTTTAAGTTTGTGAGGAACAGAGCACACTTGCACTTGTCATGCCTTCATCATACAACCTAGAGTATCGATAAAGAGAAAACCGCTTCGTCCATCACAAGTACTTCCTCCATGAAGAAATATAAGAGTGCTTAAATCACTACTTTAGATATCTATAAACCTACGTGCTACGGGATGTTACACACATTTTAAAAGAACCGAGCATTCACGGCTCAACGCCACTTCTCCATGTGTTTAGAACCAAAAGGCAGGGAGAACGCCACTTCATCACACGTACACAAAAAGGGGAAGCCCAAGAGGAGCACCGCCGAACCGAACCATGCATGAACTTGCCCGGGAAGGCTCTAATCAGACCGGGCCTGCGCTTTGTCGGTCCGAATGTTGCTTCTTCATTGCCTCGATCGCCTCCCTGAAAATGTCAGGCATAACCAACTGTTAAGGCCTCCAATGCAACCAACATGTCTGCTTAACAGCGTTGCAGCAACAAAATAAAGAAGTTGACAACAATTATATGTTAATGATAGGGCGTACAAACAATGGGATCAAACAGACATGATTTACTTGCTTAACTCTGGCCAGTATTATATGCATAATAATAACATGAATGAAAAGGGTACGTTTGGAATCAAATCGCAGTCTATTTAACCAAACCCTTGCTCCCGAAAACAAAGACGGCAGATGGAAGGCCTACCAAAATGCGTCGTGAATCTCCACGCTTGCAGGATTCAGTTTCCCTCCAGCCAGGAATGCATCACACGCTTCTTTACACTCCTGAAGGAAGGATAAAAACAAGAAGCAGATTGTCTACATGGGGCCGGAGCGACGTGTAAAGCAGCAAAAGAATGTCAGACTGCAATTTTTATCTCACCTTCAGCGACATGAGGGCAGCTCCCTTCCGATAGTAACCCTTCGCCCAATCAGGCTGCAGATTTACACATGCAATGGCATCAGCCAAAGCATCATGCGCCTCGCCGCTCTTTAGATGGCAAAGGCTCCTGTTGGAATAAAGCGTTGCATCTTCAGGATCCACTTTGATTGCCTGCATCGAAACAAACCATATGGTTAATTCTCAAAAGGCAAGCACAACTTGGGTATAAGAAAAGGAAGAATCACAATCCATCATCCCAGAATCAAGTAAGCAATCATAATTCATTTTCATTCATGATGAATAGCTAACAATGCACTACATATATGGAAACAGAGCGCTCTGGTAACATACTACCTCACTGTAGAATTTTAATGCAGCAGCGTAGTCCTTACGCTCGACTGCTTTTGCACCGAGTAATTTCAGTTCAGCCTTCTTATCTTTATCACCTCCCTTGTCCTATACCAATAAAAAAAACATGCATATCAGCAGCATGCACCTTGTGCTTAAGTACTATGCATTGTTTTTAAGGCGGTAAGGCAACCTAAGGCGAGCACCACCCGCTCTAGCGCCTAAGGCGGACGCCTAAGTGCCTAAGGCGGGCATATTTGTAAGGCGCTGCCCGGGCGCCTTATCGCCTAAGCGTCGCCTAAGCGTCCAAGGCAGGATGCCTTAAAAACAATGGTACTATGAACCAATCAGCTTTAAAATAGGGAAGATGTGCAATGATATTACCTTGGCACAGGGCTTCTTTGGTGCACCAGAGTCTTCTTTATTGGTTGTTACTTCTGCATTTAATTTCAGCTGAACATTGCTGTCTTTATCACTTTGCTTACCCTTAATCACAATATTGGGCACGCCATGACACATAAAAAATTCAAGTCAACAGACATGAAGAAGCTTAAGTGACAGCTTTAAAAAACTCAAACTAGCAAAATTCAAGCACTTTATTCAGAGCAACAATCATTTTCCACTTGAACTCATGGGCAGTTTAGACATAAACAATTGGAATGCCCTAATTGTGGCACTTCCTCTACAAGCCATAGCTTCGCAAATTTTTGAAATGGCATCACCTCAAAACCAGCCAAAAATGGGTGTGAATATCTGCAGCAAAATTTACTTGGCAGGCTTGCATGAGTAAATATCAGGATGTAATCTCCATGAGCAACCCATTTATGTTCTGGCTTCTTTTAAGCAGATATAGCATTCTGTTTTAATATTGGGTTCCCTATCGAGTATTGGCCACAGTTTCACCCAATTTTGTGTTCACGTCCTGAAGTTTGTTTCTAAATTAGGTAACAATGTAATTAAATGATATTTCCGAACTTATATTTCTACATATATTTTTATTTAGCTGCTAGGAAAATTTAGTGGAAAACATACATGGTCAAGACTAAACAGAACAGATAACAAACAACTTCACGCTTAAATCTCAGGAACAGGAAAATATAAGGTGCCATAAATTGTGGTGTCTAAGTAACTGAGCTTAGGCTTTAGTTCATACCTTGTTAGATTGTCTTAACTTTTCATGGGCAATGATTCCTTCAACACTCCAGTTTGACACAGATTGAATGGGTAAAGTGAAAGGAAACAGAATCTCAACAAGCTTTCTTCTTCCAGAGTTTGCAGCCATTTCTATTGGTATCATACGGCCCTGTTATGTAAAAAAAACAGAACAAGGCAGAGATATTTATATACCATGATTACAATATGTGTCAACATAAAACTTATGGTCCACCTGGTTAGCATGTTAAAAACAAAAGGATAAAGCAAAGCAGCAATAACCAAGATATAGCATTTCCTTGCGCTCCAAGAGTTGGCAACACAACATCATTGGAAACATTTTCTGAATACCAATTCAATGATATATCTTTTATGGAATATAATTAATATTTTATTAGTCAAATTGGCGGTCAAATTAAGTATCAATATGTGTGCAGGCCTTGTGAACCTAGGAGGGGGTACCAATGACCATAAAAATCAATTAACAACAGTAATAGCAAGAATCATGAACTTACTTGATTGCTTGGAATATTGGCATCTGCGCCAACCTCCAGCAAATACTCAACACATTCAGATAAGTCTTTGCTAGTTGCTATCACCAATGGAGTATCAGGATTTGCACAATTCAAATCGGCACCAGCCTGTGGAATAATATAATAAATGAGCATATGGACATTTTCAGATCACATAAAATACAGGAATCCAGTAAAT